TCCCCCTTTTCATTCCTGATTTTATTAATTTGCATGTTCACTCTTTGTTGTTTGGTAAGTTTGGATAAAGGTTTGTCTATCTTGTTGATTTTCTCAAAGAACCAACTCTTTGTTATATTGATTCTTTGTATGGTTCTCCTAGTTTCCATTTTATTGATTTCAGCACTCAATTTGATTATTTCCTGGTGTCCGCTCCTCCGGGGTGTATTGGCTTTTTTGTTTTCTAAAGCTTTCAGTTGTGCTGTTAATTCTCTAGTGTGACTATTAACCTGTTTCTTCATGTGGGCATTTAGCGCTATGAACATTCCTCTTAGCACTGCTTTCAAAGTATCCCATAGGTTTGGATATGTTGTGTCCGCATTCTCATTGAATTCTAGGAAATCTTTAATTTCTTTTTTTATTTCTTCCTGGGCCCAGGAATTGTGCAATTGAGTATTACTTAATTTCCATGAGTTTGTAGGCTTTCTGTAATTTGTGTTGTTGTTGAATTTTAATTTTAAAACATGATGGTCTGATAAGACACACGGGGTTATTTCAATTTTATCTATTGCCTACATATTAACATTTCAGCCCTGCCTTCATTTAAAAAAAAGCAAGTTACTTTGCACATTTAACCTAGCCACTGCAATCAAACTATTTTAACATCTTTTTCTTTCCAGATATTTTCTTTTACCCTTCCTAAATGTTCTTTAAATATGACAATGTTTATTTACTGATTAATTTTTAAGTAAAAATTTTTCATTTAAATTAGAAACAAGCTTGTTTTACATGTCAATCCCAGTTCCCTCTCCCTACCCTCCTGCTCTGCCCCCCACCGGCCCCCTATCCCATCCACATTCTGTTCTGCAGATCCCATGGGGGAATCTTTAAAGTGTGTCATATCATTTGGAGCAGGGCCTAGACCCCCCCCCCCTTGTGTCGAGGCTGAGAGAGTATCCCTTCTATGTGGAGTGGGGTCCCAAAGTCCATTTGTATAGTAGGGATAAATACTGATCCACTACCAGAGGCCCCATATATTAACCAGACCTCCAAACTGATATCCTCACTCAGGGAGTCTGAAACAGTCCTATGCTGGTTTCCCAGCAATCAGTCTGGGGTCCATGAGCTCACCCTTGTTCAGGTCAGCTGTTTCTGTGGGTTTCTCCAGCCTGGTCTTGATTGATCCCTTTGCTCACCATTCCTCCCTCTCTGCAACTGGATTCCAGAGTTCAGCTCAGTTTTTAGCTCGGGGATAGCATATAACGTAGTCATCAATCTCATTATTGGGGAAGGGCATTTAAGGTAGCCTCTGCACTATTGCTTACATTGTTAGTTGGGGTCAACCTTGTAGATCTCTGGACATTTCCCTAGTGCCAGATTTCTCCTCAAACCTATAATGGCTCCCTCTATTATGGTATCTCTTTTCTTGTTCTCCTCTATTCTTCCCCCATGCGATCTTCTTGCTCTCTCATGTCTTTGTCTCCTCTCTTCTTCTCTCCTCTAACTTCCTCTCCCCTCCCCCCATGCTCCCAATTTTCTCAGGAGATCTTGTCCCTTTCCCTTTCTCTGGGGGACCATGTGTGTCTCTCTTAGGGTCCTCCTTGTTTCCTAGCTTCTCTGGCAATGTGGATTGTAGGCTGGTAATCCTTTACTCTATGTCTAAAATCCATATGAGTGAGTACATACCATGTTTATCTTTTTGTGACTGGGTTACCTCACTCAGAATGGTTTCTTCTAGTTCCATCCACTTTCCTGCAAATTTCAAGATTCCATTGTTTTTTTTTCACTGAGTAGTACACTCCATTGTGTAAATGTACCACATTTTCTACAGCCATTCTTAAGTTGAGGGGCATCTAAGTTGCTTTCAGGTTCTGGCTATTACAAATAATGCTGTTATGAACATGGTTGAATAGATGTCCTTGTTGTCAGGATGTGCATCTTATGGGTATATGCCTAAGAGTGGTATTACTGGATCTTGTGGTAGACGGATTCCCATTTTCCTGAGGAACTGCCATACTGATTTCCAAAATGGCTGTACAAGTTGGCACTCCCACCAGCAGTGGAGGAGTGTTCCCCTTTCTTCACATCCTCTCCAGTATAAACTGTCATTGGTGTTTTTGATTTTAGCCATTCTGACAGGAGTAAAATGGTATCTCAGAGTTGTTTTGATTTACATTTCCCTGATGGCTAACAATGTTGAGTACTTTCTTATATGTCTTTCAGCTATTTTAGATACCTGTATTGAGAATTCTCTATTTAGTTCTGTACCCCAATTTTGATTGGATTATTTGTTGTTTTGGTGACAAGCTTCTTGAGTTCTTTGTATATAAATCAGCCCTGTCAGATGTGGGCTTAGTAAATATCTTTTCCTATTCTGTGGGCTGCTCTTTTGTCTTGCTGACTGTGTCCTTTGTCTCCCAGTTTCAGGAGGTTCCATTTATTAATTGTCGATCTCAGTGTCTGTGCTACTATTGTTATATTCAGAAAGTGGTCTCCTGTGACAATTTGTTCGAGGGTACCACCTACTTTCTCTTCTAAGAGGTTCAGTGTGGCTGGATTTATGTTGAGGTCTTTGATCTATTTGGACTTAAGTTTTGTGCAGTGCAATAGATATGGATCTATCTGCAGTCTTCTACATGCCAGCATCCAGTTATGCCAGCACCATTTGTTGAAGATGCTTTCTTTTTTCCATTGTATAATTTTAGCTTCTTTGTCAAAAACCACGTGTTCATAGGTGTGTGGGTCCATATCAGGGTTTTCAATTTGATTCGATTGGTCTACCTCTCTGACTTCTTCTATTTCACTAGGGGTTATAGGTCTATTTAAATTGCTTATGTGTTCTTGATTTAATTTTGGTAAATGATATCTATCCAGAAAATTGTCCATTTCCTTTATATTTTCGAATTTTGAGGAGTATAGGTTTTCAAAGTATGACCTGATGATGCTCTTTATTTCCTCAGTGTCCGTTGTCATGTCCCCCTTTTCATTTCTGATTTTTAAAATTTTTTAAAAAAATATTTACTTATTATGTATAAAACATTCTGCTTCCATGTATATCTGCACACCAGAATAGGGCACCAGATCTCATAACAGATGGTTGTGAGCCACCATGTGGTTGCTTGGAATTGAACTCAGGACCTCTGGAAGAGCAGCCAGTGCTCTTAACCTCTGAGCCATCTCTCCAAACCCCCAGTTCTGATTTTGTTAATTTGCATGTTCACTCTATGCCTTTTGATAAGTTTGGATAAAGGTTTGTCTATCTTGTTGATTTTCTTGAAGAACCAACTCTTCATTACATTGATTCTTTGTATTGTTTTCCTAATTTCTACTATATTGATTTCAGTCCTCAATTTGATTATTTCCTGGTATCTACTCCTCCGGGGTGAGTTTGCATCTTTTTGTTCTAGAGCTTTCAGTTGTGCTTAATTCTCTAGTGTGACTATTCTCCAGTTTCTTCATGTGGGAACTTAGTACTATGAACTTTCCTTAGTACTGCTTTCAAAGTGTCCCATAAGTTTGGGTGTGTTATGTCTTCATTCTCATTGAATTCTAGGAAGGCTTTCTTTTATTTTTTCCTTGACCCAGAAATAGTACAGTTGTGCATTGTTCAGTTTTCATGAGTTTGTAGGTTTTCTGCAATTTGTGTTGTTGTTGAATGATATCTTTAAAGCATGGTTGTCTGATAAGATACAGGGGGTATTCCAATTTTTTTTGTACCTGTTGAGGTTTGCTATGTTGCTGAGTATGTGGTCAGTTTTAGAGAAGGTTCCATGTTGCCCTGAAAGGAAGGTATATTCTTTTGTGTTTGGATGGAATGTTCTGTAGATGTCTGTTAAACCCAATTGGGTCATAACTTCTATTAGTTCCTTTGTTTCTGTGTTAAGTTTCTGTCTGATGGTTCTCTCTAGTGGTGAGAGTGGGGTGTTGAAATTCTCCCACTATAAGTGTGTGAAGTTTTATGTGTGATTTGAGTTTTAGTAATGTTTTTACGAATGTGGATGCCTTTGTATTTGGGGCATAGATGTTCAGAATTGAGACTTCATCCTGATGGATTTCTCCTGTGGTGAATATGAAATGACCTCCTTCATCTCTTTTGATTGATTTTAGTTTAAAGTCTAATTTGTTAGATATTAGGATTGCTATCCCTGCTTGTTTCTTGGGTCTATTTGATTGGATTTTTTTTTTTTTTTGTTTTGTTTTTGTTTTTTGAGACAGGATTTCTCTGTAGGTTTGGAGACTGTCCTGGAACTCTCTTTGAAGACCAGGGTGGCCTGGAACCACAGAGTTCCACCTGCCTCTGCCTCCGGAGTGCTGGGATTAAAGGGGTGCACCAATACCACCTGGCTTTGATTGGAAAATCTTTTTCCAACCCTAACTCTAAGGTACTGTCTGTCTTTGAAGTTGAGGTGTGTTTCTTGTATTCAGCAGAAGGATGGATTCTGTCTCCGTATCCATTCTATTAGCCTGTGTCTTTTTATAAGTGAGTTAAGACCATTAATATTGGGGGATATTAATGACCATTGATTATTCAGTCTTGATTTGGATATGTTGTTGATTTGGATTTGTTGTTGGTGCTGGTATTGTGTGTAGATTTTTCCCCATTTTCTTTTGGCTGTTGGTAAAGAAGGATTATCTATTGCCTATGTTTTTCTGGTTGTAGTTAATTTCCTTGGGTTGGAGTTTTCCTTCTAGAACTCTCTGTAGGGCTGGATTAGTGGGTATGTATTATTTAAATCTGGTTTTGTTGTGGAATATCTTGTCTACATCTAGAGTGGTTGTAATCTTTCCTGGGTATAGTAGTCTGGGCTGGCATCAGTGGTCTCTTAGTGTTGGTAGAGTATCTATCCAGGACCTTCTGGCTTTCAGTTTCCATGGAGAAGTCAGTTGTAATTCTAATAGGTTTGCCTTTATATGTTACTTGGCCTTTTTCCTTAGCTGCTCTTAATATTCATTCTTTATTATGTATGTTTGAGTTTTTATTATTATGTGGCGAGCTTTTTTTGTGGTCCACTCTATTTAGTGTTCTGTAAGCTTCTTGTAATTTCATTGGTATGTGTTTCTTTAGGCATAGTTTTCTTCTATGATTTTGTTGAATATGTTTTCTGTACCTTTGAGGTGGGTTTCTTCACCTTCTATACTATTATTCTTAGGTTTGGTCTTTTCACAGTGTCCCATATTTCATGGATATTTTGTGTTAGGGATTTGTTGGACTTAAGATTCATCAAATCTTATTTCTCCTAGTGTATCTTCAACGCCTGAGATTCTTTTTTCCATCTCTTATATTCTGTTGGTTATGCTTGTATCTGTAGTTCCTGACAGTTTACCCAGCTTTTTTATTTCCAGTGTTCCCTCAGTTTGTGTTTTCTTTATTGTCTCTATTTCAGTTTTCATGTCTTGAACTGTTTGAATTGTTTCTTTCATGTTTTTTTTTTTTTTCTTGGCTTTCCTTGCTTTAAGAGATTTGTTGATTTCTTGCAGTTTTTGGTCTTTTTTTTTTTTTCTTTCATTTCTTTAAGGGAATTCCTCGTATCCTCTTTGAGGGCCTCTATCATTTTCATGAAGTTGTTTTTAGGTCATTCTCTTTTGCTTCATCTGCGTTGGGATGTTCAGGTTTTGCCAGTGTAGAGTCCGTAGACTCTGGTGGTGTCATATTGGTTTTTCTGTTGTTGAATGTGTTTTTATATTATTTTCTTCCCATCCCTTCTTCCAGTGGGTGCAGGAGTCTCTTCTTTTCCTGGTGGGTACGGGTCCAAGGTTACCTTCCAGTGATTGCAAGCAGGTCCAATACTCTGATGGCTCTCCTCATCCTGTGGTTGGAGGCAGGACTAGTAATGGGTTCTTGGCAGTCTCTGGGTGGATTGGACAGCCAGGATGGGATCTCCAATGCACAGTTCCAAGACCTCAGGCGGCTCCGGAAGGCAGCGACAATATGTTTAAATATGTTGAGTATTCTTTAACTTAAGGCTATTTACTCATTTTCTAGATAAGTGGTTCTTTGTTTCTAACTCCATTATTGTTAAGAATTCTTATCTGGGAGAACATGTTAAAAACAATGACCTCTAGCCTTTCTCTAGGCCTGTAGTAGGGAGGCCTGGATGGAGCACAGTCCTGTATTCTCAGGTGGTTTTGGGTCTGTGATTGACAGGTAAATTTTGTAAACTACTACCTAGGTTTTGATAACCAGAGCTTACAATAGCATCAATGGGAATGTTAAATAGTTTTAGGATAAAGGTAACATCTTCAGCCATTCCAACTTTGTATATTCTGTTGGGTTTTCCATGTATCACCTTGTTTGAAGGAACACTGTCATTGACTAGAGTTTAAACCACAGACTTAGACCATACTTTACTTTTTAACATTAGCAATGTAAAAATGTATTAGTAGGACATTCTTTCTTTAATCTCAATAAGTTAACTAAAACAGTCAAACTATTGTTTACATTCAAGGGCTTTTGTGGACACCAGCTTCATGATGTCTTAATTGCTCCTGGAACAGCTGACCTGACAGCTGATGTGGATTTCAGTTACCTGCGCAGAATGGCACAAGGGAAAGTAGCCTCTCTGGGTCCTGTAGAGCAACGGACATTTTTAAAAAACATGGGCATTGATGTTCGGCTGAAGGTAATGGTCTATCTCATGAACACTAAATATCTTCATTTAAAAAGTTATTTAAAGGAAGCTCTACTGACTCAATGCTGTTGGAGTGAGCAGGTCCTGGTGTGGTCTTGTCAGAAGTGAGAGCTGGGGTGTGGCACAGCTTGCTAGGTTTCTATATGAGGTTGAGACTCCCAAGGAAACCACATTCATGGGTATGAATTTTATAACTTCCCCTCCAAGGACACTTAAATGTCCTTACAGAGCAAATCACCCGGATATCTGCTAAAGATGCAGATGTGCACATTTGGGCCACAGCAACCCACAGGTGTAAGCACCCCGTGGTCACATCTGGGGCACTGCTGTACTAATCACTGAAGTCACTGTTAGTTCTGCAGCAGGGAAGCCTTTCTTCCAGTGACCTTTGTTAAAGACCCCCCCCCCCTTCAGGTTCTTTTAGATAAAGCAGATGAGCCATCCTTGAAGCAGCAGTTACTTCGGGGGTATGATATGTTAATGAACCCTCAGAAGATGGGAGAAAGATTCAACTTCTTTGCTTTGCTACCACATCAGAGACTTCATGATGCAAGTCAAGAAAGGAATGCCCGTCAGTCAAAAATCCCCACATCATCTGTAGCTGGGTTTGATGAACTTGTTTGGCAGTGATATTTCAACTTGGACTTTTTAATTCCTTGGTGTGCTTTAAAAATCAAAATAAAAGAAACTCATTTTGTATACTGAAGGTAATGTCAATGTTCAAACTATCTCTTTGCAGTTAATAAAATACTAGCCCTTTTTATATAAATACGATCAGAATGGTTGAATGTTCAAGGTTATAGCTAACTTGGTACAACTGTTTACAACCTAGTGAAGTAGTTTATTGTGACATCAAGTTTCCTTTAATCAGGCTAGTTGCTGTATTTCTATTTATTTTTAAAAAACACATATGAGCACTGGTTGGTTTGTTGGAAACTGGAAGGAAGGTAAATGGCTATTTCCAGGGATCTGAGTCAACAGCTCTGGACATCACTTTTAAAAGAGGGAAAAGCCATATATTCTGATAGAAGGATCTCTAAGATTAAGAAATCGAAAAGTCAGACTGAGTTTCTAGTTATGATCCTGGTTTGGCTGAAGGAGATAATTAAACGAATATGCTAATATGACTTAGTTTCCTGTTTTGTGGTGTGCACAAGCAGAGAAAAGATGAAAGACAGAAGAGCTTGTAGGAAATCAACAGTAAATTCCCCAATCTGGACGCAGGAATCAGAAAGTTCACACATGCTTCTGTGGATTTAATAAAGACTGACACTAAATTTTAAAGAAGTCATAAAAGGCATAGTTAAAAAAACAAAAATCCAGATCAACGACACTAAATTTTAAAGAAGTCATAAAAGGCATAGTTAAAAAAACAAAAAACAATATCAAACCCTGCAGCAACTCTGACTTGTATGGAAATGAGAGTTTAAGAGCAATATAGACTATCCAGGAATAATTTCCTAAGCTGAGTTCATCCTGCTGTACTTTCAGATAAATGTAAAATTTTAGTTCTGTAGTAAGTTGTCATCATTTGGGCCTGTAGAACTTTTATATTAATACTGTAAATTGTTTTTTTGGGAAGTATTTATCTGCAGCACAACCCTATGAGGTCAGATGGGAACAGTATTAGCCATTTTTGACCTTATGGTTTAACTGCTTGGAAATTCACTGGCAGAGTGGTGGGTGGGTCACTTTTTTCCCCCTGCTGCTTAACTGAGAATGGTGCTAACATTCTGTGTCTTAATCTATACAGAAAAGAATGTATGAGGCTTTATTTAATTGGTGTGTGTGGTACATGTACATTTCAGCCATTAGCACCTAGTTTTAGTAGGCAGCCTGTGATCACATTTTGGGTATTATATGTACATGTGGAGGTTGATAGACAGTGTCTTTTTCTCCATTGCTCCCCACCTTAGTTTTTGAGACTGCATCTCTCTCTCTGAACTAATAGCTCTTTAATTTGGCCAAAGATTGCTTGTCTTTGCCCTTCCCTGGCAATACAATATCTTTCTAGGGTTACAGGCATGCTGTGGTGTGTGCTGGGGAACCAATCTGAGGCCCTTCTGTTGGTGCAGCAGGCACTTTACCTCTGAGCCATCTTCCCAGCCCTGATGTCTTCAGGTTTTTTTTTTTTTTTTTTTTTTTTTGATGCTGCGCAGCCTTAGGCCATTCCTAGTTGCTCTATTATTCTATTCCTATAGCCACTGTTTTGTTTGTTTTTTGTTTTCAAGGACTATAGTAAAATATTTGAAAGATGAAAATACCCACAGTTGGCTCTTCCCAAATACATAATTGTTTTTGGTTTTTGTAATTAAGAGGGAAGAGTCTGGTAGTGTCTTGTATCTCATCCTATCTCATCTCTATTTCTTCTACCTCATAAAATTCTAGAAATTTGTTTTTTATATTAGACATTTAATTTTTCTAAGTCTTCTGGTAGTTGTAACAGTTGAATATCTGGAGTAGTTACTGAAAAAATTTAATTACCATTATTCACACTTACATCGCAATAAATGGACCTTCTAGGTAATTATCTCAAATGCACTATACAATTGAAATGCCTTTTTGAAAGATTTTCTTTGTGGGGGGTAGGTAGATTCAGTCACTGCTCATGTAGCATTGGCTCTATTTACAAAACTATTCTATTATTCAGGCCCATAATATTACAACCAAATAGAACTTGGGAAACTTCTACTAGAGACTGGTTAAGTTTTTCACATAGGAAAGTGTGGTGATATAGAAATACATTTTATTATCAAGTTTTGAGAATATTTACAAAAAGTGGGATGTAACAAAAAATATAAAATGTATGAAACAGTGTCATTATACACTACTTTGAAAATTATCGTATGTTTCTAGGAAACAATTACTTTTTATGCAAACACAACTTGGCTTTAAGACAAAGACAAAAAATTATGCAGGTTAAACTGTGGAGTAGTTACTCAATGCCAGACTGACAGTGCCTTCACAGTCTCTTTCTCTTTATATAGCACAGGCCTCCAACAAAAGAGTGCAATTAATTTCACGGCTTGTAAAGCCTGATTATAGCAGTACAGCAAACGAACAGTCACTCCGGTGAATTTTCACCTCACATAGTAAAGCCACAGTGGGTTGCAGAGTGACACAAATTGTTCCATCTTGTACATGTTGGTCAAGCAGAACTTTTGTAAATGGAGGGAAGTCATCACCTATCATAGGGGAAATCCATTCATAGAGGTTTTTTAAAATTACTCTTCACAACTGGTGTATGAGAACAATTACAGAGAGGTGTGCAAAGTTTCAGGGAGATACAGATGTACAGTACATTACCAATTGTTGGGACATAGGCCTGGGTTCAAATCCATATTCAATTTCTATGAACTTCAGCAGCTAATTTTGGGTATGTAGCCATGCGGCAATTGTGAGGGTAATTTGAGGCAGCTTGTAATGTTTCTTCAAGCATGTTTTAAATTTTCGGTAGATTCCGGCGGCTTTTTCACCTGCAAAGGCACTCTCAGTCTTGGTCTGCTCACACACGACCGTTTCTCTTTTGCTACCTCAGACTCAGTGGTAACTGTCAACACCGACATTCCAGACTGCTAGACGTTCACACATGCCAATCTTCACAGCCACACCGAGGAAGGCAGAGGCAGTGATTTATGCTCTCCATTCTAAAGACTGAGAAACTAAATGCTTAGACAAATTGTCTCCTGCCCAGCCCAAGAGAGCTAAAAAGTAAGAAGCCAAGACTCATACCCAGGTTCTCTGACTCCAGGTCTTTGCTCTTAGCACAGAAAAGAACAACATTAAAAACCTATTCTTGGTGACTAAAGAGGAAATGAAGAAACAAACAGCTACTGTATTTCCTACAAGAGGTTGGTCCTGGATCCTTTTCTTTGGGTAAAGCACAGACTGGAACATTACTGATGTGAAACTGGGAAGATGCCTAGGAACTCCAATCTAGATTTTAGAGGATTTCAGACTTATAAACCAGGGATGCTCAGCCAGTGGAGCACACAGATCTTTCAGTATGTGGAAAGCTGAAACCCTTCTGGTGTTCAACTGTTCAGATTAGGGATACTGAACTATATTAACCACTACAAAAACAGCTGACTGCTGGAGCTGAAGTGCAATACATTCTTACCCTTCCTTCATCTGCTGTGTTGGTAACATGGTTCCACCCTGATAAACTGAACTTACATGTCTGACTTCAACACACTCCCCCTAACTGCTCAAAATAAAATGCTAATTTAAAAATTGTAGATATTTGTAGATCCCACCCAAAGGTGAAGGGAAAAGGAGAAGATACTGCTTTCTGTAGAGTGGCATTTACTGACACTGTACTAGCTTTCCTTTTAGTGTGTATTTAATTTTGTTTATAAATTATCCAACCCCATATGAGGATTAATTATGTAGTTAAATGCAGAGCTGTGCCCGCTGGTTGTTGGCATACAGCTTGTACAATGATTGTGTCAACTGAGAACATATGTGTTGAGTGGCAGAGATGAGTGATGACCAGCTGTATCTACTCATTTTATAATACCAACTCTCCAATTATCCTAGTGGCTACGACCAGCTGTATCTACTCATTTTATAATACCAACTCTCCAATTATCCTAGAAACTAATGCAACAGAGAAAAGGGGACTATTTTTATGTCATACAGACCATATTTAAAGACATAGCCTTTAAAAGATTAGCAGTAAAGTGTTGGATTTATAGGGATCCAGGAAGAATCAATGCCTCCTTCCAATAGTAGAAAAATATTAAAAGTCCTTACAGGAAACCATATATTGTTAGCCTCAGAGTTACTGCTTAACTACAAACCTACTGAGTAATCAACGTCATGAGCAATAACTAGACAGTCATAGGCTTTTAAAACAAATGATGGAATAACAGCAAAGGAGAGATAAATTAAGTGCTAATTCACATTGTGCTAATGTAAAGGAGTAAGGAAAATTACAGAACCAGTTATTGCTTCTGCTATAAACATTTCTAACAAGTTTTATTCTGATTTCATTACTTGATTTTATTACTCAGTTTCCCTTCATGTACCTACTCGCTATGAGCTACAGTATTGGTGCCACAGCTGTTGTGTTTCTGACTCTGCCTCCTTGCAATGACAGCCTGCAGAGAGCAATAGTCATTCAGCAGAGTATCCACTCATGGAATGAGATCCTTCCTTACTGGTGATTAAGGATCTTCTTCCATATCATCTGGGTTGGGGGCCATAATGAAATGCTTTGGGTATTCGAGGTTGTGTGTGTATGCGTGTATTTCCCATCGAGCGTCATCACTTTCATGTGTAATGTAACGTTCTCCAATTCGAGTTTCAAATTCTCTGAGGTCAAGCCAAGTCTGATAATCCTAGGAAAAGAAAATGATTATGAACCATAAAATAGACAAAATACCCTATCTTGATTACAACCTTAATGACACAATTGACAACTCCTATTCCTAAATTCTAATTGTATTTTATATTAGCAATGTTAAAGATAGATCTTAAAATGTATGTCTCTGTAAAGGAAAGGAACTAGTTTCTGGAAAATTCTCTTAGGCTTTTGAGCTAGCCAACAGTAATTATCACGAAGACATTTGTTCTCTACTGCTAGAGGCATACATCTTACTGTTCAAAACAGGGGAAAATGCTTGAATCTATTACTAGGTTCACTTACTAATCTATGATCCCAGAGTTGCATTTGTTTAATGTTAATTCTACTCCGTTTCTTATAAAATAGTTGTACAGCTTCTCAGCTTACTCTCAAGTGTGGATTTCTGTCTTGAGACAAATCTCTGAAATGACTCATGGAGGAATCAAGCCAAACACAAACCTTTTACTGGACACTTAAAGTAAAATATATTGAATAGTACGCCAGGCTAACATTAAAAAAAAAAAAAAAAAAAAGAAAGAAAGAAAGAAAGAAAGAAAGAAAAGAAAAGATGTCCTTTTTAGCTAAGTCCTTATAAAAAGCTCATTGTTTCAGTTCATGGGTATTTAACCACCTATTGACACTGTCTTGAATGATAGGCTGTACAACTTCCAGAGGCCTAAGCCATAGTACAGATATTGACTAAAGAGGGCCTAGATTATCCCAAGAAATGTGCTGAACATGCTGTTCTTTGAATGGTTTTGTTAGCCAAGACAAACTCATAGGAGGCTAAGATGCAGAACTTTTTTTTTTTTTCTTTACCTGTAGCCAAGGATGACTAAGAGATTTGTCAACACTGAAGCGCTTTCTCATCTTCACTTGAAGCAAGTTGTTTATCAAATCAATTGCTAGGTGAAAAGGAAAAATTAGACGTATGAGTTTAGGGGTACTGAACCTGGGATTCTGCCAGCATGTGGGCAGTTTGATCCGTGTTAATCTGGCATAGAGAAATGTTTGCTTCTCTAGTATATAGGATTTAACACACAAAAGTGACCCATAAATGCTTCCTGTAGTAAGTATGAACACCAGCTTCTTCTGTGAAGGATACAGAACAGAGTACAGGTTACACGAATACACTGAAGCCGGATAGGTAGGCTCACTTGGACCAGTGTGACAGGGTCTGTTTCTAAACTATGCTACGCCTTCATTTCCCCATCTGTACAGTGAAACTGCTGAGAAGATGAAATCAGCCCAAGAGAAATCTTAGAATGTGTTTCGAACACAGGCACTAAATATCCATCACTATTATTTGAGGATGAACTAAACAGACTGATTCCAGATGATCTTTCCCCTTCCAATGAAACCACAATGCTCTCTCTTCCCTGACCAGGTCTGAAACAGTGGCAGAAGTCACTTACTTTGACAGATGCACTAAGAATGAAGACACAACAATAACAAAAGTTCACATTGCAGGGTTTAGCAAACAGATTAGGGGTGATTTGGTATTGATAGTGAAAACTTAGCACATTTTACGCAGTTATTTGGAGAAACTGAACCACTACAAAATCAAGGCAACTATAAAACTACACATTGATCACAGACTATATAGCGATGCATTTGGAATAGTGATAAGAAATCTAGTCCCAACTTGCAAAGGTTTTCCCTAAGTACTTCATTACTTCTGTATTGTCTATCCTGTCAACTATGTTCACTATCCGCATCTATTTCAGGAACCGTTTCATTCCACCTGCTAAGTCAGAATTTAGAATATGGCCAAATGAATGACAGGAGAGGTCTGTGGGTCACACTACCTATAGAGCTCCAAGACAGCTTTGAACATCAAAACCTCCTAGTGGACTTCAGCTTTTTTTGTTACAAAGTGAACCTGGCAGGCTGCTGTCTTTTCTGTTGTTCTTAGCATTCCTTCTTCCGGTTTGGTGGAGTATTTATCAAACTGTCACCTGGCCCTGTATGTTTGGAAAGGTAAAAAAGACCTATTCATTCAACAGCTGGCTAAACTGGGGGGGGGGGGAAGACATGACATTCCTTAGCACTACTTGTACTATCTATGAGGGGACTGGTGGACTGGTTCCTAGGGATGACATACACCATCAGTACACTGAAGAGGACCAACTTTATCCCCTTCTCTGCCTTTCTAGATGCACCTTTTCTGAGAAAAAGTCTTGTATACGGCTCTGAAACCTCCACAATACTGAGATTACTGGTGTACAACAACAGCCCTGGCTTATTCTTGACATGTATAGAAGCAGGCATTACAAATGGAAAAACCTTCACTAGTCATGAAAACTATAGCATGAAGGTTCCTGGTGAAAGAAGGACTGAAAAAATGAACTGCAGATACAAAAACTCTTTCTAGGTATAAGGCACATGAGTTAAAACTGTCTAGTCAAGGAGTTCATTATCTTGTTCAGAAGACTGGACTAATTACCAAAACAGATATGTAAGAAAAAATGCCCAGCTGTTAGCCTAAGGAGCTCTTATACAGCTTGGAGGAGAGGTAGGTCAGGAGGACCCACAGGCCAAACACAAGGTCATATCAGAACCCCATAGCTGCAGTGTGGTTAAAAGGAAGACAAAGTGGATGAAAGAGCTTTCTTGCAGACGGCTCCGGCTCCAGGGACTGAGTAACTGGGGAAGAGGCTAGTGGACGGCACAGGTAAAAAGATGGTTCAGTAGTTTCCGGATGAGGCTGCTGGAGCCTGGGTGACTGCTATGCCTGAAAATTATGAGGAAAAACAGAGACACAGAAAACAGTTTAAAAGTAGAGTACTTGGCCTTGCACAGTGGCACACAGGTCTCTGTGAGTTCAAGGCCATCCTGGTCAACAGGTAAATTCTAGGCCAGCCAGAGCTACAAAGACCCTATCTCAAAAATAAAAAGTAAATAATAATTAAAATGATAAATACAAGCAGAGTGCTCAAAGACTGCTAATGGATTAGGGATGAAGAGACAGGCTAATCTGCGATCACAAAAATTTTAGGCTAATAGTGCGTGAACCTGAAAGTTGTTTCTTTTTTACCTTCACTGGAGATTTCTCGCCATGGATTTGGTGGGTACATAAATGCAGCATTTTGGATTTGGTCATTTATATCTTCATCTTCATTGAAGGGAAATGTGCCGCTGAGGCTCACGTAGACGATGACTCCCACTGACCACATGTCTAGGGAACGGTTGTAGCCTTTACTCCTGAGAACTTCAGGGGCTAAGTAGGCTGGAGTTCCCACCACTGACCGCCGGAATGACTTCTCACCAATGATGCGTGCAAACCCAAAGTCACACAACTTCACCTGGAAATTGAATGTGTAAACACTTCTCAATTGACATATCAATACCTATCCCTAGGTTATTCTCAATGTGCTTAACCAAAGGTACTAACTATACACAAAACAGTTAGGACAGGGAAACTCAAGTATCATTTCCCCAGAGCAGACAGACACATCTACAGTTCTTGATACTACAGTATGATGAAGAGCTTTCCTAGTGCTTATTTTAAAAACAATTTGAACTCTATCTTCCATTCTCATGGAGCAAGCATTCAGTTTTGTTGTTTTGATGAGATATACGGAGGGTGCTGATCTTCCTTCAATTGTGAGGGAATCCCTTTTCTATTTTCTGTAAGAATTGTGTTTCAGTTTTGAGTCCTCAGTGGCCTCTCAGTGTCTGGGCACATAAAAGTACTCAATAAATATTTTGCTGTGTGAAAAATAAAATAGAGGCTGATGGTGGCGGCACATGCCTTTAGTCCTAGCACTCAGGAGGCAGAGGCAGGAGGATCTCTTGGGTTCAAGGCCAGCCTGGTCTCCAGAGCGAGTGCCAGGACAGGCTCCCAAGCTACAGAGAGAAACCCTGTCTTGAAAAAAAAAAAAAAAAAAA